TACTTACGTTGGAGGGCATAAGCCAGCGCGCACAATAAGTTCGTTCTGTCTAATGTCAGAAGTGAAGAGGTAGTGAGAACTGGCTTATTCTGTACACAGGGCGTATTGCCGCGCATTGGCTGTTTCCTTGTGGTCAGAGGAAAGCGTCCGCTCGGGTGAGCGGAAGTCGTGATGTGAGGTTTATTGCGTGGGCGTCAGCACATCATGAGGGAATGTGTAGGTGAGTGCAAGACATGTGATTGGACGGAGTCGGGGGTGCATGCTCAGAAGGGCGCGCAGGGGTAAAAAGCGGGGAGGTTGGAAGCGAGTGAGGCGGTGAGAGACTGCGTGCGCACACGTGATCCGTTGAAGGCGATCAAGAGGCGACCGAGCACAGACCAGAGGGAAGGCCGTGCGTCAGTGGAGTGCCTGTTGTCGCGGTCATTGGCTGACAACGAGGCGCCGCAAAGGAGGGGAGGAGGAAGGGGGCATTGAAGCGGATGCCACAGGAGTATGACAAAACACGGAGTCCTCTTACGGTCGGGCATGTGTACATTGATATTACATCCAAATTTAAACAATGCTACAGGTCGAGGTCTCCTGTCATTCCGAAAAAAATTTCACATATATCCGCATTTATACTGTACCAGATAGTGTATAGATATTTGTGCTGATATTTTGCAATCTTATATTCTCCTATCGGAATCATTGAAGAAAGTGCATGTTTAAGCCCAATCGAATTGGTGGAACCCGAGGACTGCTCGTCTGTGGCCGAATACTGCGGCATTTCGTCGGCAGTTGCAGCAACGATGCATCTCCTTCCCAATTGGCCTCAGGGATCACCACATAGATCACATGTTTGGCGCCTACGATTAGGTCCTTTACACCGGGATCCGCTATCTGCTCCAGGCGCCTAAGAGCCAACAATATCCTCCTATTTCCCGCTCCCCCCGCCTCTTGTCTCTGTCATCACTGATTACGGCGTCTTAACATAAATGCTTTTCTTCCATGGGGTTTGCTATCGTGTGTTTTTACGTGCTGCCACACCCCAAATGTTGGCATATGATATGGGTGAGCATCGTGAATGAGGCCTGCCAGGCTGCGATCTAGTTCCCGGTGTTTATGCAGCACATCCATTGCGTGGTTTGTTTCAGGGGCAAATGTCGCGGAGATAACGCTGCATGTCGGTACCGTGTGAGCGATAGAGTACCATCCCCGCAGGCCCTGAGCACATGTGCGCAAACTATGCACGGCAGAAATGCCAGAGAGCTGCCCGCCCCTCCCCCAGTCCACTGGCTGGCAAGGTATGTCTGTCCACCCTCCCTCCTTTAGGGTTACTGCGATAGGCTTTGATCCACCGGGCTGTGGTTTCGGCACTTCCCCCGCCTGCGACTGCAGTGATCCGGAGGTCCTGCAGCAAGATGCCCGAGTTGGCGTGAATTTGATGCATCAACAGGGTCATCGGAGCTTATTCTGCGTCAGTTGGTGAGAGGGCGACCAGTCAGCCATCCGGGCAGCATCGGAGTTATGGGTGCTGACATCAACCTCCTGTCAACCGACCTCTCGTCTGACGTCTCGATTTAATGATCTGTACCCCCTTAAGGTCGATAAGTACTAAAACAAAAAGCGCGATAAATGCACCGAAACAATGCACCAATTTTTCTTTAATATTGGGATGTGTTGTCAAATTTGGTAGTGCGTGGCTGGCGTATATGATCTGTACGGATGTCCTCAGCCTGATCAGTGTAGAGATGAGGTTGATAAGAAAAATGACCACATAATTGGCTGCTATCAACACGCTTACT